TGCCAGGAGCACATAGACCTGCACCTGTTGGTAATTCCGAGCAAGCCAGCCTTTGCCAAACCCCAGGCCTCTGCTTAAACTTTTTTCCTGGAACTAAATGATGTTGCCATTTTTATTTTTAGGTTTGCTGGCATGGGTAATCTCATTAAGGTGCTAACCAGGGACATAGACCACAATGCAGCACATTTTTTCTTGGACTTTGAAAGTAAGTCTCTTTAGCCCTTCACAGCTGGTGCATAATGGTAAAGGTGAAAGGTGAAAGGTGAATGATCCTCACACCACAGTGAAGGCCAGCCAGAACATTTGTTAATAAAGTATGGGGAATCAAAGTTTGCATGATTTTTTCCCCCTAATTGTAGGCAAACATCACCGTCATACATATAATTCTTTAGTTTTTCATTTGCTAAAATCATGTTGAGTCTGTAGCCAGTGCTGTCCTTTCATTAGTCCATGAAGCAAGGAGCCTTATGATGAACATTCTACTAGTATGCCTTGGTGACATGCTCACATTCCTGCCATCGGCGGCTGGATACCGTCGAAGTGTGCTGCACATCAGAATCAGTACTTGAATAACTGCCACCAGTTACAAATCCAAATTTGGATAGAAATAGCTGCTTTATTTCATGGCATACAGGAAGTAAGTTTAACATTCTACTCCTTTAAGATGAAATGCAAAGGTGAGCTGTGGCCAAAACTCTTGATATTTGGCTTTGAAATAAATTGTTGTTTCGGCGCAATTTTAAACAAGATTACATGTGAATAATTCTTGATCAGAAATTTCTTTTCCAGAATACTAGCACTGTTGGAATACTTAGAGAATTTTTCATTATAAGGCCACTAATGAGACTTGTCTTGGGAGAATCTTGCGAAGAATGAGAGCAACAGTTGTGCCATTATGTACAGGAAGCCACATTTCACCTCTAGGTCCTCCACATCAACCGTGGGAGCCCGGTTTGCTGTCGCCCGAGCACAGTCTGGGTAACCTGAAGGACGAATTCATGGCCTAATGAACATTTTCCCTTTTGCTATTGAAACAAAAAAATCCATTTCCAATGTTCTTTTTCATAAAGGGATATTTTCTCTTTTCTCATTCTTGTCTTGACAGGTACCTTAACATGGGGAATCTTCTTAAAGTTTTGACATGCACAGACCTTGAGCAGGGGCCAAATTTTTTCCTTGATTTTGAAAGTGAGAAGATGATTTTATATCTATTTCTCTTTGCCTGCAGTAGACTGCGTTTGTCTTGCACTAAATGAATGTTTCCACTTTGCCATCTGTTTAACTGCTTTGCATGACTGAGCTATGAATTGTTTGAGTAAAATTTCTGGTGCCTTCTAGAACTGGAAATCCTATTTTATAGACTAAATTGTAAAATACTTTTATTTGAATTGTTACAAGAGATATCTCTTTAGTTGAGCATTATTCTACAATTTGAGATCTCAAATGAAAACGTTTAAGATTCTCATATGAAAACATTTCTATAAAAAATTTTGGTGGAAATTTGTTAATAGAAGCAATTTTTGAGGGGAATTATTGCAGTTGAGAAAAATTAAATATTAACTCCATGTACTATTGAAGTATTTTAATACAAATTGGTTCTTGAAGGCCATTCAAAGCTTAGTATTGGCATAATATTAAAAGGTAAGTGTGAACCTTAATTATTTAATCTTTGTATATAATTAATTTGAAAAGTTAAGAAACTCATTATATGTACTTATTTCAGGAGTTAATTTTTTTCTAACTCTATAAAAATAATGGGTTCACAGACCTTTAAGTAATTTGCCTTCTGTTTGTTTTATGTTGCATGACCTATTGTAATATGGTCTAAGGGTGGCAGGTAAGTGTCATTGACCCCATGCATGTTGGAAAGCTTTTGCTTTTTTGGCTGTCTGTCTGTATTGCTTTAGCTTGTCTGGTTGTCAAATCAAGAACAATGATATTAAATTGGTGTTTTAGTGTGAATGTTGCTATTTTAACTGATCATTAGGAAATTGTTAGGAAAGGGTGAAGAGAGAGCCTTAGATTGTAAATCATGCGAATTCTTGAATACCACTAAGGTTAAAACATTTGAACAGGTATTTAAGTACTTAAACTTTAAGACCTTTTCTGGTTTTAAAAACAAAATAAATCCCTGAAAATAAATCCCCAGAGAGTCACTGCATTTTTCATCAACTTCAGTTTAGTTTATGTGATATTATGCAATTCATGCTACTTTATGAATAATTTAAATATTTTTCTTAAAACCAGGACAGTTCCTATGCACACATTAATTTATTGTTCTACATTTTATGGAATAATTTATGGTCTCTGATATTTTTCTAATTTTATTACATTCCTATCAATGTTCTGTTCATAGTTTGGTAGTGTGTGCAAGCTAGCGAAGAGTAGTAATGCTAATATCAGGACCATAATAAATTGTGGGTTTTTAGGGGAACATGTAGTTAAATAAATATTGGTTTTCTTGACCCTTCTCAACAATTTAACAAGACTATTTTAAGTGCATGTTTAGCATGAATTTTAATCAGCTTGGGGATGTTGAGCAGATTGCTGACTTGAAGGTTATTCTTTCAGATGAGGCAACTTACATTAAAGCTGTATTTTAGTTTATTTGCATCTATTTCAAACTTGGTCTTGTATATTTTTCTGCTATTCTGTCTCCCTTTTACTCTGTCTCAAATTCCTTACATTTGCAGAATCTTGGCTCTGACACAGTCAAGATCTTGTTCAAGACTTGGCACTTGATCTTTTTATAAACCAATCTTTAGGTTGTGGTCCAGTGAGAAGTATGAGTTTACTGTAGTGTTTAAAATATTATTTGGTCTTGGTTTCCTAATCTGGGATAGGTTTGGATCGTTATCCTTAAATTTAAATAGTTAATTTAGTGCCAGGAAAAGGTCGGAATTGCTAACAACAACAATTTCCAGTCATGAAGAACTACATGTAAAGTTTTAACTTCTTACAGGCAGCTGTAAGTTAAAGAATGACGTTGTTGCCTATATCAGCCAATGTAGAACTTTTGGTTTGACACTTACTGGTATACTGTAAGTGAAATTTAGTGAAAACATTCTGTATCCTAGGCCAGAGTTTGCCTGTTATTTCTTATTTAGATTTTTAAAATATGTTTTCTTTTGATTCTAACTTAATCAGTTTTATTTTTCATTCATTTGTCTTTTATAAATAACTTTTATGGTAAAAGTTTACCTTATGATTTGGCTACTAGAGTGACCCATGAGATGGGTCAAAAATGGGCAACATATTTGATGTGCCAGTTCCTTATGATTACAGAGAATAAAACCACATTCTTATTGAATAAAATATCAAGTTCTACATTTTTATTTCTAGATGAACAGTAATATTTAGGTTACCATTGTAATTTAGGTTTATTTTAGGCTGTAGGTACAAAATAAAGACTCTGTCTTTACTGTAAGTCATTACTCTCTTAACTTTAGCATGTGCACACACGTGCTGTTTTTCACTTCAGTTCAACATCCATTTATGCGGAGCCTCCTGCCTGCCGACAAGTAGGTGCCGGAGATGCAAAGATACAACTCCTGCCTTTGGAGAGTTCTCAGTCTTGTGGGATAGATAGAAATGCAAATTAATAATCATCTTTGCATAATTTACATCCCAGGTATAGCTCAGGAAGGGATTGACTTTACCTTGCAGGGAGCAGACTTTCTGATGGTGATGTTTGAGTTGTGTTGTGGAGGTGCAATAGAACGTTTCAGGCAAATTTAGTGAAGGACATTGAAGAAGGAGTATCTACAAAGGCCTTTAAGGCATGAAATGACAATCCATGTTCATTGTAACATACTGTTACCTGTTCTTGAAGTACTAGAAAGAGAGTCTCTTTCTTAAAACAAGCTATACCTATAGGATAAGATTTTATTTGAAAATCTTGATAACGATTCCATTAACATATAAGCTCCGATTTGCCCCATAAAATTTGGCAGCACTTATGGTAATGACAGCATATATAAAAAGCACTGAAATGGGGCCCGTATACTCTCTTCTTGTTCGTGGAATTATTTTATAATGACGCTTTAAGATACTAGTCATTCTAATGACAAATCGTTAGCCAAATAACTAGTTGTGTGTGTGTGTGTGTGTGTCTCCACTCATTTGTGGTTCCTAGGAGAAGAGGGACTTTTATTTTTATGACCCTTGCCAGTCTTATATAGTGCTTTGTAAATGATAGAGTTCAGTGTTTGTTAGTTACTCTTGATTCACTTATTTTCGGTTAGACCACAGTGCGAGAGTAAAAATAGGTGAATGTTTGTAAATGAGAAATAGAACCTTACTTCCTATGATTCTTTATTTTAGTGCCTTTCCATTTAATCATACATTTCCTCTAATTCTTCTGTCTTTTGTGTTACCTGTCTCCCCTCCTCCCCATCTTTTACAACTATTGATACCCACTTTTTTAGTCTAACTTTATTTTCCATTTTAACTTTTGTATATTTTCTATTGCTTTTGCTCTGTACTTTGAAATATTTTTATTCTTATGGTCTTTCCTTATTTTTTTTTCTAAAATGATATAGGATTTTATTTGTTCAAACATGAAAATGCATAATGGTGCCCTTTAACTCATGCTGGAGGCATATTTATATTTACCATCTCTGTATCTTCTCATTCATGCAACAAGTATTTATTATAGAAAATATGCTAGGTGCTGAGTTTGCATACCATTCAGTGGTATGTACTGTACATTGAGCTCCCTGCATTGATGAAATTTATGGAGTTAGAGTATAAATATTTATTGAGCGAATGAATGAATGGATGCAAGATTAAAGCAGATAGACCCTTTATCACAATGATCATTTTTATGTGATTTGCTTTTTATCTTTTTTCTTTTGTAACTGATCTTTGCCTCTTTTTGTACCATAACAGCTTCAATTTCTAAAAAACCTTTATTATTGAGAGTATTACAGATTTTCCCTTTCCCCCGCCCAACTTCAATTTTAACACTTATTTTCAGTGACTCTTTATAGGAAAGTGGGGTGAAATTATTACAATATTTACTTTTTACCTTCAAACAGTAAGAGCAACGGAAACATGCTGTAATTGCCCTTGAACAGCTTTTAAATAAGCCTGATGAGTTTGCACTGTGCTTACTCCCAGTAGTAGATACATCCTTTTGCAATCAAATAACTATCCCTTTGTTAGCCGGCTAAGTGGCAGGTTTTTCTTTCAACTAATACAATTTTTAATTCTTTGCTCTGAAAAATCAAAGTGACAAGTCTTGGGTGCATTATATGATACCATTTTTTTTGAACAAATGCTTTCTTTTATATAGCCTTTCCCCCTCCCTAGTATCTCACCTTTTGCATGACTTGCTGTCAGTAACGTAGTGCTTACCTGTCTGCTATTTTCTGTTTGTCTTCATTTCTACAGCAGTCTTCAGCAGCTTTCAAAATTATCAATGTGACTCTCCTGTGGCAGTCTAAAACTGTTCAATCAGTGTGGTGCTGGGGGCTGTCTCACCCTTAGGGGAAACTGAAGTCTTTGCCTTTGTTTTTAAGTTTCTTGTTATTTATCAAATCTTTAATAATCCTGAATCACTCCCAAGGTCTATTCAAATCTACTTGATAATGTTTCTTTGTCTGTAAGTCTCACTGTCACATTTTTCTTTTAACAACTAGTCACCACACCAAAAATACATAGTAATTGCAAACTTTACAAATACCTTTTGGTCTCTAACAGTCAAAATATTGTCCTTTGTCATGAATTCCCTCTTCATGAATTTAAACTATGTGTCTCCTATTGGTGTTTGTCTGTAGTTTCACAATCCACATGAAAAAGTATAAAGTTGGCTGTTTTTGCATGTAAAGAGTATTTTCTCTGCTGCACCTGGTGTAAGTATAAAAGTTACAAGGTGTACTTTTTAAAAGTGTGTGTCTAACCATGACTTTGGAGAACAAGGTCTGGCTAAATGTGAGAGGATATTACTGCTAAATGACAGACTGATTTTTAAAGTCATTTAGCTACAATATCAGTATCCGCTCCTAGTAATACCTGTATAGCTTTGGACACAGTTTTAATTGGCTCCTCTTATGTAATTATTTTGTCAAATAGAATTTTCATTCAAAAAGTGCATGATTTCTGAAAAGAAATTTGAAAAATAAGGGAACAGATGTGAACACAAATTGTTAAGTTGGCTTTGCATGTAAATGTTACTGTGTTATGTTTTTGTAGTACTGTCTTAGGTATGTTGAAATTAAAATTTGGTACTGTAATTGTTGATTTAAAAAATGTGTGGTATGTTTTTGACTAGTTGGCAGGTTTAACAAGTGGGATTGAACTATGACTTGTCCCAAGCACAAAATAAAGTTACAGTAGTTAGGCATCTGGAGTCCTAGTTTCATGTGTCAACTTAGTTTCCTTAAATTTTCTAAGGAAAGGAATAAATATAGATCATTGTGTATTTGTGGGTAGGGGGTGTGGGTATAGAAAACTCTTAAGTACTAGTTTTATGTAACAGAGATCAGAAATGTTCTTAATTTATATTATAAATTAGGTAAACAAAAGAGATCAGAAATGTTCTTAATTCATATTATAAATTTGGTCTTCCTCCCCTACCCTCATAAGAGAAAATTTTAGCAGGGAGAAATCCTGCCAGCATAATTCCTCTCTAAAACATTATGGTAATCATAATGTTTATAATTTTAAGTGCTGTATGCCTTATCTGTAGTAACATGGCCTAGTTGAAAAGATACAAGAAAAATTCAGTTTCCTCACAGAGTGCCGACCCCCCCTCCCCAAGAAATGTATTAAATAAAAAAGATTTATCCTTAGGAAAAAAATGACCACGTTATTAAAAACAGAATTTCTGTTACCTCGAGTCTAGCAGAGAGAAATCTAGATTTAGTCACATTAACATATGTTCTGTGGCTAACACTGCAGGTGGTGGAAATACCCATATGTTTGTGTTCCTTGTCATGCTTTTTGTAATTGTAATTCTTCATTTTTTTCTCACTCATCCTCAAGGACGGAGGAGCGCAGTTTTTGCTTTAGCATTTAAAAAGTTCAACATTGCAGCTGAAGCATCTAGCTTTCAGCGGCCCAGTGATTCTGGAGCAGTTTCATACTTTGAACTCTTCTGCGCTGAAATCTTGACCCTGTGTTCATCAGCAGAGAAGTTCATTTGGTACAGAATTTAAAGTGGTCCTAGAAAAGGGCAGCATCTAGAAAGGATTCTTTTAAAAGTTTTTATATCAATATTCAGTCATTAAAATGAACTTTATAGGAGAATAAAGTCATTTCAGTCTTAAACATAGATTAGCAACATATAGTAGGCCTTTCATTTCTCTTGCATTAAAATAGATCATTACTCATGAATTTACAGTCATTACTGATAGTGACGACTGTAATGAAAAGGCAGTTGTTCGTGCTATCACAATTTAAATGATAATTCTCAAATTCACTTAATATACCAAGTCATTATTTGTGTCTACAATAAATAATGTTTGGTGTTCCCTTGCTGCTTTGTGATATTTACAAACTTGAGGCTAGTTCAAGTATAGAACTATGGAAAAATTATCAGTCTTTTCCAAGAAGTGCAAAGTTAAATGAGTAAAATGTTAGTCATCTTTAGAAATTTGGATTTAGAGTTGTATGTGTACTAAAAAATTCATGTGACTGTGAATTTTCTTGTGCTTTCCTGCTGTTTAGATGCCCAGCCTACAGAGTCCGAGAAGGAAATTTATAATCAGGTGAATGTAGTGTTAAAAGATGCAGAAGGCATCTTGGAGGACTTGCAGTCATATAGAGGAGCTGGCCATGAAATCCGAGAGGTAAAGCACGCCCATTTTCCAGTCAATAGAATGCACTGTGTCCCGCCCTCTTTTTAATCTCTCTCGTTTTCTATACTTTAGAACTCTAGTGCATAGTAAAAATTGTATTTAAAGAAAGATCACTTGCATTATTTCAAAAGTGGTTGCACAATATAAGGGTAAAAGGAAAACAATGTTCTATAAATATGTATATTAAAGAAAATTGTGTGTTATTGGTTGCTCTCACACCTGAAATTTACTGTATCCATGGGGGGCCTACTGGTACTTTTATGGAAGGGAGGAGAGAACACAACTTTCTTTAGCTTTTTGTTCTGTCGTCTGTTTTTCCCGCTTCTCCTAAGCTTCCCTGGGAAACGCTGAAATCATCCTTGTGGTCTGGACTCCCCAACTCGGTCTGACTTTTCCCTACAGAGCAAATGTTCAGTGTGGTCTCCCTCAACTTGCTTCTCCCGAACCTCTGACCTGATCCAGGTTTCTTCCCATTCATCTCATTCTCCATTTCTTCTGTTTAGGAGAAGCGTAGTCTGTCTCCTTCTTACCAAGACTATGTTCTCTAACATTCTTCTCCATTTTCCTCTGGAATTTCAATTCTTTCTTCTCTTAATTCCATCTGGTTTTTTTTTTGTCTTTTACTGACTTTTTCTCCTCAGCATAAACACATACTCAGCTGTCCTATTCTACCCAAAGAAACCTCCTAGCCCAGTGGTCGGCAAACTGCGGCTCGCAAGCCACATGTGGCTCTCTGGCCCCTTGAGTGTGGCTCTTCCACAAAATACCGACTTCTGCGCATGGGCCACGAAGTTTCAATCGCACTGTACGTGTGCGCCCACACGTGGTATTTTGTGGAAGAGCCACTCTCAAGGGGCCAAAGAGCCGCATGTGGCTTGCGAGCCGCAGTTTGCCGACCACAGTAGCCTCTTTTTCTCATTTAAGATACAGTCTATTGAATAAACAATGCTTATTCTCTAGGATAAACCAATAGAGATGGAGATAATGTTTTGATATATGTGTTGACGGTTTCAATATTTTTGGAAATGAGAGTGAGAATACCTGCTCCATGACACCCTCACATTGACCCTGACCAAGCACCCTTGTGCATGTTGGGCTGTGATTGGTGCTGTACTAAAACGTTCTCTAGCAGCAGTAACGCTGATGTGAAAGGAGAAGGAACCAGCATTATAAGGAGAACCATGACATGTTGTCGTGGCAGGGCAACCATTGGCTTCAGTTCTGAATCCAGCAAGGCCAGGAAACAGTTAACTGTGCTCGGTTGTGACAGTGGGTGGCATTTGCTGGAGCATTTGATAGTATGAGAATGAGCAGATATTTGAAATATCATTTTTAGATCCTTGCAAGAAAATTTGGCTAGACTTCTCAAGAGAAGAAAGCAAATTTAAAGTTTTTATCTATTTGCTCATTTCCTGAATAATAAATAAAATAAACAAATTTCTACTTGCTGTAAAACATTACTGAGACTGGGCTTGAGGCTAAAAGGATTTTTCATATACAGCAGGATAATATTACAGTTCCTTTGAAATATTCATATGAAATAAAGATTGTCAGATATTTTTAACATTAAAATATTTCTACATAGTCATATAAATGTAATTTACTTTGGACTCCTATAGTGTTTAAGTATCATTAAATTTTTTTTTTATGTTAAACAATCAAGGACATTTGCATATAGTGGTAAGCTTATAAAGCAAATTGCTTAAATAATATATAGCCCATTTATTTAGTTCGGAGCTAATTTATTCAGAGCTTCTTCTAAATTTACCTGGTTTCAATTTTTGTTTGTGTTCCTGTTTTTTGGTTTTGTGTAGACGGAGCTAGAGTGCTAGCACCTTGGGAAAATCTAAACATCAGTACCTCCTGATGGTGTTTATGAGTAGCCCCCACGCCCCACCATGGGTGTGAGTTTCAGCTTTCAGATGGTGTGTTTAGCTTGTTTGAAGATGTCAGAGAAAGCAAACCAGGTTGTTGAAAAAGATATTAAGTTTCATAAAGGGTTAAGAAAAGCATCTATATGCAAAATAAAGATGAAAATAAGAAAATAACATTTCTTTGGGAAGAACCCTCTAAATTAATAAAAGATTGCCTAGTGGTTTGAAAGACTGGGCATAGAGAAAGGCTTTATATTATATTAGGGTCTCTAGATTGTGGTTTATTTCCTCCCCTTTCCGATTTGAAACTAGTTTTTACCTTCTTATTCGGGAAAACCCAAGAAAACTTGGATTCCAGAATATTATTTTTTAGTTATAGGAAATAAGTGTGACAATTTCTGAATCCCTTCTTTCAGGTTGATTTGGGTTCTTAATTTGGTAAGTCTCCTAAAGTTACTTTGGACCCTGGAATTGGAATTATTCAAAGTTTCATACCCTGTTCCACAGTTGGCATCTTATTTCATTCATTACCTAACTTTGTGGTTTCTTTTTATTTTACTAAAATAATTTTTTGAAAGAAAACTGCTAAGAAAGCCTGTCTGTGATATGCAAAACAATATAAATGGTTTCTTTTTGTGGCTCTAAAAGGTATCAAGGCGTAATATATTTAGCAAGCATGTATTGTGTCATCCTAGTTCATTATATCCATGTCCATTGCAAGGATAACTAAAAGTGTGTTATGATAGGGTTAAGTATCCAGGGAGTTGAGAAGGCCCACTCTCAGCATTCCTGGGTCCATTATTCTGTATTTTATAGATTGTACCAGGTTTCCAACATTTGCTAAGACATATATTTTAATGTAAAAAGAATGCTGCTGTGACATTTAGAACTCAACTTTTTTTTTCCCTTTGGATTTTGAAGGCCATCCAGCATCCAGCAGATGAGAAGTTACAAGAGAAGGCATGGGGTGCTGTTGTCCCACTAGTAGGCAAATTAAAGAAATTTTATGAATTTTCTCAGAGGTTAGGTAAGTTGAAAGTTTTGTAATTATGACTTCCCTAGTGAAAAATACGTTTATTGATGCCACCAGAAGTAATTTAGAGTATTTTATGTTCACATTGCTATATTAATGCGCTACATATGTGAAGCAAGTTTGTTAGACTGTAGTATATTACAGCATAAACCTATGTCTTTATTTAGACTGTTGTCTTCGACACGTTATTCCATAAGGAAAGCTCTGATTTCAATGCAGTATAAAGGGTACTAGCGAGAGAAACCTCTTGGTAGAAGTTCTCTCCAGCAAACCCTCTCCCACATGCAGGAACTAATCCATAGGCTCTGGAATATTTAGATTTTGATGTTCTTAAAATCATTGCTGATTAGGATCAGTTAGTTCATGTATCTAAAACTACAAGTTGAGCACTAGGGAGCCAATGGGAAAAGCTACTGTGACATCCGAATTGTGCCTTCACTACAACCAGTGAACACAGTTGGAATTCCCTTCCTTGGAGAAGTGGTCAAAGTAAGATGTAGACATCGAGCTGCGGGTGTAATTTGAAAGCCGTACCTTGGAAGGGCTTTCTGTGTGAAATTGTGGCCATACGGGAGGAGCAGGATAGGTATGTCTGAAATTTGAAAAACTTAAATTGAAGTTCTTGACACATGTTTTATATAGTTTTGAGTTTTGAATCTCATAAACATGTTATGTATTTTAAATGAATGCGTGCAATTTGGTAAGAAACCGTGCTTTAAGATAGGAATCAACCTGGGGGCTCAGGAGCTAAGTTTAGGCCTGAGATGTGATTTCTTTGGGCCATAGTTTAAAAAAATTCCTCATCAGATGCCAGGTTTAAAAGTGGTAACTGTTTGTATTTTGTTGTTAAGTCTCCAGTTGTTTAATAAAATCAGTAGCGTAGGCACCAGTTGGTCAGCTGATCTGCATTCAGTTGGCCGGAGCCAAGTGACAAGCATCTCTGTTTATTACGTAGAGCATGTGCTTTCTAGTTTAGTAGGTTCCCATGGCTTCCTAGTTTTTATATCTTGCTTTTCATATTCTTTTATATTAGCTACTTGGCCATTTGTGTTTGTAACTTTTTCTTTAAAGTGGAAGTTCTTTTTTTAAAAAAAAACAACCCTATGTTTTTAAAAAAATAAGAGAATTGCTATTTTTCTTAGATACAGTATGCACTGTTAAATGTGAAGACAAGTAATAGCTGAGATAGAAGTATTTGGTAAATTATCCTTTTCTTACTAAAGATAAGAATTGTAATTTATTTTCCCAAGCACAGCAGTCAGCTCTTTCACGCTATTTGCCTTTCAGTCAAATATCTACATAGTCTGTAGCTTGGTAGCTTCAGACCACTGGCCTTGGTCTTGTAATCGTGGTGGTCATGACTCCTTCATATTTAGAGAGTTTTCTGTGCTGCTGGTTTCTATTTTTGAATGGTTGTTTGCGGCAGCAGTCTGCGGTGTTTACCTATGCCGCCATCTTGGTCTCTCTCCAAATTATCCTTTTCTTACTAAAGATAAGAATTGTAATTTATTTTCCCAAGCACAGCAGTCAGCTCTTTCACGCTATTTGCCTTTCAGTCAAATATGTACATAGTCTGTAGCTTGGTAGCTTCAGACCACTGGCCTTGGTCTTGTAATCGTGGTGGTCATGACTCCTTCATATTTAGAGAGTTTTCTGTGCTGCTGGTTTCTGGCTGCATTTATAGTTGAATTGCTTTAGATGGTGCACTCGTCTTACTAAGGCTCATTCTAGTCTCAGCATTTACCAACCAAAAAAGAGTAATTACAAAATAGGCCAAACCAGTCAGGCTTGCATGTTTTCTTATGTTTTATCTACTGGAATTGAATCGGGCTCCTGGTATGGGTTCATCGTGGGTGCTGTGTTCCATTTCAGCAGAGGCATGTGGTAACACAGGTAATAAATAGCAAAGAGCATCAGTTTCCATGCTGTCACCTGGAAGCCTTGAGCCTTCATCATGGTACTCTGGGGGCCTCTGTAAAGTTAAGAGCAAAGTATGCATTTAAGATCTAATGGCTTACTCCTCATGTCTTGTCCAGTAACCTGACTAGTAATGTTTCCAGTTTTCTTGCTTACAGGATGCATATCTTTGCTTGCCTGTGATAGCAACTCAATGTTTGTTGAATGAATGATGCATTAATGAATATACATAACTGCTATATCAAATGGGTGTTGGGTATTTAGGAGAAGCAATAAATGGATTTTAGGCTTTGGTGGCATAATGGCCTATGTTTGAATTCTGGTTTGTTAGCTGTGTGGTCTTGGCCACATCACTTAAATTCTCTGAACTTTAGTCTCCTGTCTGGCCCTCCAGTCTGTTGAGTCTTCTGCTTTATGTCCACTAAACCTCTCTAGTCTCTTCTCTTCCTGCCTCACTGTTGAGCCAGAGATGAGGATATACAGCACAGACAACACACAGAGTACCACACAAGCATCAAATGACCATGGTCCTTCAGCATCCTGCAATCTCAAGGAGAGGATGGCTTGGCCTGTGTACTGCAGATATACCACGGGTGCATTCCAGAAGAGGGACCTTGATCCCTTGTGGCTTATTTATGGAGGGACAGGGAAGGGGTCACTGAATAATTTGGAAGATACTGAGCTTTGTCCATAGCCCTTACCCTTGCTGGCCTGGGAAACACCCTGTTCTTGGTTGTTGGTCTCAGGCCTTCCTGGTTGAGACATAACCTGAGGGAGGTTACCTGATCAGACAGTAGACAAACTGTGTTGTCTCTCCTCAGTCTTCCTCCTGTTCCAGGGACTTATTACAGGGACCACCTCCAAGGGTCATAATGAGTGAGTTTATGCACCACGTTGAGTCCTTGTCACTGGGCTAAATTTACCAAAATCTATTAAGAGGTCCCAAAGTGCCCACAATAATTATGGTCATGTCTCTTGGCTGTTTGTCTTAAATCCCCCACAGACCACATCCTTTGGGTTCTCTTCTGAGGATTCAGTGACTGGTCTTTGATAGTAGGTGGATGGCAGTTGGTGAGATTAAATGGCTCTTGTCTCTCAAGGGGAACTTTCTGCAGGGGCCTCCCTTTCTTGGTCCTGAGCTTCAGCCATTCATAGAAGTTCTCTTAAGTTCATTGTCCATCCCAGCTCAGCCATGTGACTTGATTCCACCGCTAGGGGGCAATGTCTCCTGTCTACCAGAGTGGTAGAGTGCTTTGAATGCTGAAATTAACCCTGAGACTTTATAAAATCTAGTAAATGCAATTTTTTTTGGTAACAGTCCAGTTTTTTTGTAATATTGGTGGGTGTGTTTTCTTAAGTGGTTTTTCCTGCTCTCATCTCTCTCAAACTTTGCTTTCTACTTACATTAATGTTGGCACACAGAATGAATCTTGGGAGAAATAAACCATTTTTCAGAGTAGCCAAAAAACGTTATTCCTCTTAATTGATTTTTCACATCCACGTTTCAGCTCTATGAGCCAGCCATAGGCCTACAATCCATTCTCCACACTGCAGGTGAGGTGGAGAATTTAAATGCTAACCTGTAATGCCCCTGCTTACTTAGTTTATCCAGGGATATCAGGATGACAAGGCCAGGATGCTTCATATGGCACACACATTATGTGCATACTAGAGGCCTGGTGCACAAATTTGTGCACATTGAAAGGAAATTAATTAGAAATGTTTTAATATCACTATTCGCCCGTTCTCTATAATAGAAGGGTCAACCAAATTCACGGTCAACAATGACACACATGTGGGATTGGCGCCAGCGAGAGCTTTATATATATAGATAAACTTGCTTAATTAGACCTACTTTCTGATTTAGCTAAACTTTTTCTAGCCCAGTGAAGCATCCCAACTTCTCTTTCAGGTAATTGTCAGCAACACAGCAGTAAATATCAACACGAGGCAGATTATTATTGTAGATCACACAGGGAGAACAAAGGGTGAAATATTAACTGCAGCAGTGTTTGACTATATTCTGCGCAGTGAGAAAACCTGAAGTCATTTTCAAGTTCCACCATTTCTTACTTCTTTTCAGTCGGGTCAAGTTTCCAAACTTTCTAAATCTCCATTTTCCAGCTAATGAAAATAAAATAGGATTCTACGGAGTCTCCTATCTACCTATTCCAGGAATTCTGTGAAGATCAAATGAGATGAGGCATGGGAAAATGCTTCATAGACATTTGGTTAAAGTGTGAAATGTTTCCACCCGGCTATAAAGCAAGTCATGTTCCTGGGCTAAAGAAACTGCAAGAAGGCTAGTCATTGCTAGGGAGAGGAAGCCGGGCGTTGCTCCGTGACGTCATTACCCGGATGGTCGGAGTGGTGGTGGGGCCTGTGTCCCACTTGGGGGAAGCCAAGTGTTGCTTTGTCGGCGCCAGGTCCATGGTGCCGTTTCTTTGTAAATGGCCAGTGCATGTCACAGTAGCTCCTGCGTTGAGCGTCTACCCCGTGGTGGTCAATGCATATCATAGCGATATCGGATGGTTGGAGGGACACTTCGCATATTGGCCTTTTATAGAGAGAGAGAGATTGTTTTAATCTCCACGCGCTCCATCCACTGGTATTGGTATTGCAATGTGAGTACTATTTCATGCTCTGGTCCCGGCCCTGTTTGTTTGCACACTCTTCCTCATCCTTAGTGCACAATCCATTCTCAACTCAGATGTCACTTACTCAGGGAGGTCTTTTTCTGAACTTCAACTAGGTGAGGTCCTATTTTTATACCTTTTCATTATACCGTGTATTTCTTCTTAACACACATCACAAATGTAATAATTTCTCTTTCTTCTCTATATATTCAGGCTCCATGTGGCCATAGGGAGCTGACTACCTTCATCCCTGTTTCTCCAGTGCCTGGCACATAGTAGACAGTCAAAATGGTTTTTTTGACTTATTATAAAAAGGATACTATCTACCATTTGGAGTTATTGTGTGGATGACAGATAATGTCTGTAGTATCTAGCCCAGTATCTGGCACATAATAATACATAAGAAGTATGTACGATTGGTAGTAATCAGATTAATATTTTATGAGGTTACAGATGGCTAGGTAGAATACTGCTTTATTTGAGAGACAGCTTAATGTGGTAGAAAGAATAGGGCTGTAAAGTCAGAAACACCTACTAGCTACAATTTTGGGCTCTAATCTCTTTGAAACGCAGTTTATCCACGTGATACCCATGTCAGAATTGATGCTGAAAGTTAAACGAGAGTGGGTTAAGCTCACAGGATAGGTGTTCGTTCACCATTAAGTCTTCATGAATAGTAGAGCTGGTATTTTTTTAAGTTAAGGGTTGATGATCTAACATAAATTTATTATCATTAAGAAATATTTGTTTATTGACCTGACATTTATTCATTAATTTCTGATCATAATCTGACTCTAAGCTGTTTTTTTTTTGAGAATAGAATCTAGCATTTTTTTTGATTCTGTAATCTAAATTAGTGTGATTTCTATCACTTTTTTTGAATGAACTATTTACATTTTTAAACACAGTATTTATTAACTTGGCATTCCAAAAGTAGCACTTATTTTAAAAGGACCATTTTTCTTAAACTCAGCTAATTATTAAATCAAAGATTTTGTTTCCTTTAGTAACTGAAAGAAAGCAGTTTCTGTTTATAAATAAGCAGCAAATTCAAAGTATGAGAAGTTGGTCCTTCGTTCATAGCCATGGACAGATTTGACCCTGTGGACACAAGGCCACTGTAGAAGTTACTTAGCAGATTGGTAAATGTAGTGTAAAGGGTGCTCTCTGATCCTGGTATTCAGATTACATTTTGCATTACTTTGAATTTGAGTTTATAGATTACAAAACTGAATTAGTCTCTCTAAGGTTTTTATTCTATTAAATAATATCAATTTGCGTGATTGTATTTAGATGATCTGGATTTTAAAGAGAACTTAATTTCATGGGATTTGAAATCACAACATTTATAAATTGTTCACTTTCTAATTAACAAATATCACCAGATACAAACAACATTTAAATCTTTTTTTTCTTTAGAAGCAGCATTAAGAGGTCTTCTGGGTGCCTTGACAAGTACCCCATACTCTCCCACCCAGCACCTAGAGCGAGAGCAGGCTCTCGCTAAGCAGTTTGCAGAAATCCTTCATTTCACACTCCGGTTTGATGAACTCAAGGTAGGATTCCTGCTGGCCTTGACTATGTGAAAGCATGAGTCCTTCAAAGAGCATCAGGAGGGATGCCTGGAGACCTAGCTAAAATGTGCTTAAGTGATGTCTGATGTCCTTAGCAAAAATGGAAAACTGGATATAAAAATTATGGCATGTCTTTTGATACATGCATAGCACATTACCCAATATTCAGCCTTCATTTAACTTCATTTTAAAAAGATCTTTGAAAGAATATTGACCTTTTCTGATATATTTTTTTCCTTTCTGCTCACCCAGTTTATCTCAATTTTCTTTTATGTAAAAATGTTAAGGTATTTCCAACCCCTTCAATTTACCTGTCTATATACCTACCTACCTACCGGTCTGCTACCTCCTATTGTTGGAGGAGTGTGAGTAGAAACAAGCATTAGCTCTCCCAGCAGGAGACTGACTTCCACGTTGGGCCCTGCACAGTAGCCAGCTGGGAGCAGGCCCTTTGTCTTCTCAGGGTCTCCGATACCTTGCCTGGAAAATGGAAGAGCAGGATTTCTAACTTCAGCGTTTTATGATGAAATCTTAGACAACTGTTCTCTTTTATTAACACTTGGAGCACAGATGATTTACATACAAAATGTTAGTCAGTCTGGAGATTGTCCTGTTGACCATGTATGCATACTTCTGGTGTAATTCCAAAGCAAGTGCCTGCAGAGTTTTTCTTGTTTTCGTCTTTTGGTAATACTATGTTTTGGCAAACCACCTTTTAGTATATTACATGAAATTATTGAGAAAAAGAAGGGAAACTTATTGACCATGACTAAAAAACAATCTATACATTTTATATGTTCATTGGGGACCGACTGCATTGTGAACATGATTTATGTGCAAAAAAAGCCATCTTGGTGATACCAGTTTTATTTGTTAAAATGTTAAAACTGTATTTAGTAGATTTTCACTTAATTTTTTCAGTGTCATTTAGTACCTACTTTTTTCTTTCACAACTGTCTTCTTTAGATGACAAATCCTGCCATACAGAATGATTTCAGCTATTATAGAAGAACATTGAGTCGTATGCGGATTAATAACGTTCCAGTAAGTTAACACATTGAATTAGGGGTGGTAATAATAACTCATTTCTCAGTTCAAGTTCTTCTTTTATTTGTTCATTTGCTCATTCATTCTGATAAAATTAAAGCCAGTAAGTAATCTGTGGGCAACCACAGGTGTGGGAAGAAAGAGCAAAATGTAAGAAACCATATGGTATTGAACAACCGCCCCCCCCCCCCCACACACACTTTTTCCCTTAAATTCCTACGACTACAATAAAATTATTTTTTGTCTGTGTGACATTAATACCGGATTTCTCTGTGTAGTCTCATTTTAATGACATAATAATTTGTGAATTGGTGCTTTTGAGTTTGTTCCCATATTCATCGAATGGAATACTCCGAGGAGGAACCAGCCCTGGGAGGGGAGTAGTACTGATGCTGGCAGAGGGGAGAGCGTGGCCTTGGAGTCATGGGCTCTGCGTCTGGCTGGCTGAGGGAGTGGCTTCTGCGCCTGCTCCTGCCTAGCAGAGCACCACTTCTGCCTTCTTTAGGCTTGTGAGCCTCTGGACTCCTCCTCCTCTTAGCGGTTTCATACCCTTTCTACCGCCAAGGAGTCAGATGTCTGTCATTTGTAAAACCTTAAATTTGAAGAAATATCTTTTTCTCGGTATGTTGAGGGCCTACCTTGTGTGGAAAAGAGAAATTTCTAGGATCAGCCCTAGCCTCTGGCCCTTTAAATACAGTTCCTCATGTTGTGACCCAATCATAAAATTATTTTCATTGCTACTTCATAACTGTAATGTTGCTACTGTTATGCATCGTAATGTAAATATCTGATATGCAGGATGGCCTTAGGCGACCCCTGTGAAAGGGTCGTTTGACCGCCAAAGGGGTCGCGACCCAC